GGGAACGGTGTGTGACGACCACTGGGACCTGCAGGATGCGGCTGTGGTGTGCCAAGAGCTGGGCTGCGGCTCGGCGCAGTCAGCCCCTGGCACCGGGCACTTTGGGATGGGAGCCGGACCCATCTGGTTGGATGATGTCAACTGCACGGGGACCGAGGTGGCCCTGTCCTCCTGCAGGACGAAGGGCTGGGGAAAGAACAACTGCCACCATGGTGAAGACGCCGGTGTGGTGTGCTCAGGTAATGCTCCGGGGAAGCGATGGGGTGCAGGGGGGTGATGCCGCGTGGTCCACAAAGCAATTCCCTCCCAAGGCCACAAACTGCGAGGTTGGAGCTCCAGCATCTTGGAGCTTTGGTGGCCGAGCGAGGTGCTCATGGCAATTAGTAGTGCCAGAAGTGACCCAAAAGACATCAGCACGTGGGTTGTCACCTCCACCTGCAAAGAGGACACGGTGCACACTGGGAAAAGAAGCTTCCCTCCTTCTCCTGTCCCAGAAGCCTCAGGATCTCCAGCTGGAGTGACCACAGGTTGCTGGGACCACGTGGCATCACCCCATCCTGGTCCCCTGCATCATCCCATCCTGGTCTCCTGCATCATCCCATTCTGGTCCCCCGCATCATCCCATCCTGGTCCCCTGCATCCCCCCATCCTGGTCCCCTGCATCCTCCCATCCTGGTCTCCTGCATCATCCCATCCTGGTCGCCTGCATCAGCCCATTCTGGTTCCCTGCATCCTCCCATCCTGGTGCCCCGCATCCCCCCATCCTGGTCCCCTGCATCCCCCCATCCCGTCTCCTGTATCACCACATCCCAAGGTGGGAAGTCACCACATGGGTGACTGTTTGGTGCAGCCAACAACCGCAGCAGAACGCAGAATGGTCCTGCAGAAGCGAAGGATGAGGGGTTTTCATGGTGCTCCTCCTGTGTCCTCCTCTGTAGGTGCCTCCAGCCACCGCACGACCACCCGCACTGGTCCTGCAGAGCTCCGCCTGGTGAACGGCTCCAACCGCTGCTCGGGAAGGGTGGAGGTGATGCACAATTCCCAGTGGGGAACTGTGTGTGACCACCACTGGAGCATCCCCGAGGCCACGGTGGTGTGCCAGGAGCTGGGCTGCGGGGCTGTGGCCTCAGCCTATGGAGCAGCTCACTTCGGCCAAGGCTCAGGTCCCATCTGGCTGGACAACGTTCAGTGCAACGGGAGTGAAGCTGCTCTGGCCGAGTGCTCGGCCCAGCCCTGGGGTGTCAATGACTGCAACCACGGGCACGATGCCGGTGTCGTCTGTGCAGGTATCACCTTGCTAATGGACCAGGAGAGGTTCGGTGGAGGATGCTCTGCTCTGGGGGTTCATGAGACACGGGGTGGGTCACCTCATTGCCCTTGTCCATCTCCAGCACACAGCTCTTTAGCTCATGGGTCCATGAAAGAGGCTCTTTAGCAGGGACTGGAGTGATGGGACATGGGGTGATGGGCTCACTTAAAGAGGGGAGATGCAGGTTCTCATGAAGCTCTTCCCCGTGAGGGTGCTGAGGTGCTGGCACAGGGTGCCCACAGAAGCTGTGGCTGCCCCATCCCTGGCAGTGCTCAAGGCCAGGTTGGACACAGGGGCTTGGAGCAACCTGCTCTAGTGGAAGGTGTCCCTGCCAGGGGCAGGAGTCTGGAACTGGATGGGCTTTAGGGTTCCTTCCAAAGTTTCTGTAGCACCTTTCCCAGGTGCCTGCAGGCACAGGAGGATGCTCGGATTTTCCCGCAGTTTATCCCACGGCACATCCCAACTGGAGCCATGGCTGAGGGTCAGGATGATGTGCCCCTTGCTCCTTTCACAGATGAGGACACTCAGAAGCAGCATGTGCTGCGGCTGGTGAATGGCTCCAACACGTGCATGGGGAGAGTCGAGGTCTTCCATGACAAGAAGTGGGGCACGGTGTGCGACGACACGTGGGACCTCCGTGATGCCACCGTGGTGTGCCGGCAGCTGGGCTGTGGCATGGCTTTGTCAGCGCTGGACTCGGCTCACTTCGGGCCAGGGTCAGATCCCATCTGGCTGGACAATGTGCACTGCACGGGGACCGAGTCCACCCTCACCAAGTGTGCGCTCAACAACTGGGGAGAGCACAACTGCGCACACAGCGAGGACGCCGGAGTGATCTGCTCAGGTAACACCAGGCTGCTCGGTGGCCACCCAAGCAGGGCCTGGCTGGATGCTGGAGCTGCTCTTCTGCCCCATGGCTGTGCCAGGCTCTCTTCTTGCTGCTCACTCTTCCCCAACCCCAGCACCAAAGTCAGCTTCACCCAACCACTTGGCTTTGGAGTTGAGCAAAAGTGTCACCTGCCTTGCACAGGAGTTGTGCACCCAACTCACATTGATGGCTTTGCCCCAGCCCTGGCAGTGTTCAAGGCCAGGTTGGAGCAACCTGCGCTAGTGGAAGGGGGCCCTGCCCGGGGCAGGGGTTGGAGCTGGAGGAGCTTTAAGGTCCCTTCCAACACAAACCATTCCATGAGTCGAGCTTCTCCATAACTTTCTTTAAAGGTTGGACTTGATGATCTTAAAAGTCTCTTCCAACCTAGTTGACTCTGTGATTCTGTGAGTCTATGACCTTGAAGGCCCCTTCTAACCCAACCCATCCTATGAATCTATGAGCTTGAAGGCCCTTTCCAACTCAAGCCATTCCATGAGCCTATGAGTTTGAAGGTCCCTTCCAACCCAACCCATCCCATGAGTCTATGAGCTTGAAGGTTCCTTCCAACCCAACCCATCCCATGAGTCTATGATCTTTAACATCCCTTCTAACCCAACCCATCCCATGAGTCCATGAGCTTGAAGGTCCCTTCC